GTTGACCTTTAGTAGACCTATCAATATACGTAGCTAAGAGTGCACTACAAGAGTGCTCTCCAACCCAAAGTCTGACTTATTTAGTGCCATTACAAGGTAGACCAGAATATGTTAGGTTAATGTGTAAAAAAAACAGGGGACATAACTCTAGTTTTGTGAATTATTTATTTAAGTCTACTGAGATCTCGTTAGTGTACATACCCCATTAACCAATTGACTATAGCCCAATATTATTGTGTAAATCTAAAATCGATTACTACACCATTCATTTAATTCTAGTAACAAGCGATCCGGTCTCATTCAATATAGTATCGACTTTAAATACATACGAATGAAATGAATAACAGTCTGGATGATGTTTTCGAACAACAAAATCTAATATCACGTCTACAAATATGTGTTATTCTTTATACGGAACACACAATATCTACTGCTGAGCGATATCAGTCGTTGTTTACAACATCTACTGCTGAGCGATATCAGTCGTTGTTTACAACATCTACTGCTAAGCGATATCAGTCGTTGTTTTGATGCCACATCTACTGCTGAGCGATATCAGTCGTTGTTTACAACATCTACTGCTGAGTGATATCAGTTGTTGTTTACAACATCTACTGCTGAGCGATATCAGTCGTTGTTTTTATGCCACATCTACTGCTGAGCGATATCAGTCGTTGTTTACAACATCTACTGCTGAGCGATATTAGTCGTTGTTTACAAACATCTACTGCTGAGCGATATCAGTCGTTGTTTACAACATCTACTGCTGAGCGATATCAGTCGTTGTTGACAACATCTACTGCTGAGCGATATCGGTCGTTGTTTTGATGCCACGGCTACTGTTGAGTGATATCAGTCGCTGATATAATGCCACATCACGTCTACTGCTGAGTGATATCAGTCTCTGTTTTGATGCCACATCTAATGCTGAGCGATATCAGTCGTTGTTTTGATGCCACCTCTACTGCTGAGTGATATCAGGGTGGCTTTGATGCCACAGCTACTGCCGAGTGATATCAGTTGTTGTTTTGATGCCACATCTATTGCCGGGTGATATCAGGCTCAATTTTATTGTCAAATCTACTGCCGGGTCACATCAGTTTCGGTTCTACGTCCATCATATGTTGTCCAGACGATATATCAGTCGGTATCATCGCCATATCTACTCCTTATTTCATTCCGAAACCACAACAACGTATCTTGTCCAATAGTTGTCGTATGATTGTATTTGCCGCCTCTCTAGAGTTAGGCAAAAAAAAACCCAGACAACGATATTCCAGGAAAACTGTTTTTTTAATCCCAATTTCCCCTAAAAACAACATATCCTACTTAGCCTACAGAGATGTTCGAAGTTCGATACTGATTGCCAAGCCATACCGTTAACACGTTGATTAGTGAACACAAGAAATAACATGCCAGATTTACAGATACTGAAAGGAAGTCGGATGTTAGGGTGAGATAATGAAGCTGTATGACTGTGTAGGGGCCATCTGTCCGAGATTATACAGCAATTTACACATTATCATCAATGTAGTCCCATGACTAATGCTTTCCAGCATACAATATATGACACACATTGGTGATAAGTCGATAGCGTCATTCCGCGGCGACAAAAACAACAACATCATTAATAGTGTACTCTATCGTAAATACTGTGGTAATATTCCGGTAAAAATATTGGTTGGAACGGGTGGCTGGGTAACGGAAAATTCGGGAGTATGGGACAAAGGCGACGGAGTGTTTCACGATTAATCACTTTAATTATTTAACAGGTGGCTGTTTTGCACTGGAAATCCATAGACAAAATCAATAGGGATAATCATTGTGACACAAGACGACTCAGTGTGTGTTAAACCAACACGACAATTGATCATATTTCTGATGTCGTGGCTCGTTTTTGGCCTTGAAATTATACATAGGATGTTGGTAACTGACTTTGTGAATGCGATCACAGTTTATTTTCTTGTGAATTACCCGATATACTGAAGCAGATGAATCCGGAAGGAAAACAAATGTTATTACAGTTGGTATACGTAGTAATGATATATTGTGTTAAAATGGTAAATTTTTAATGAAGGGTCGCCCTCGACCATCAACAAGTAATGGAAGAAAAAAAGTAGCACTGTCCCATATAAATGTTAGTCCACTGATGGTTACTGTCCCAAACAAATTTAAGTACACTGATGGTTACTCTTCCGTACAAATGTTAGTCCCCTGATGGTTACTGTTCCGTACAAATGTTAGTCCCGTGATGGTTACTGTTCCGTACAAATGTTAGTCCCGTGATGGTTACTGTTCCGTACAAATGTTAGTCCCCTGATGGTTACTGTTCCGTACAAATGTTAGTCCCGTGATGGTTACTGTTCCGTACAAATGTTAGTCCCCTGATGGTTTCTGTTCCGTTTTAATGTTAGTCCCCTGATGGTTTCTGTTCCGTACAAATGTTAGTCCCCTGATGGTTACTGTTCCGTTTTAATGTTAGTCCCCTGATGGTTTCTGTTCCGTACAAATGTTAGTCCCCTGATGGTTACTGTTCCGTACAAATGTTAGTCCCGTGATGGTTACTGTTCCGTACAAATGTTGGTGCCCTGATGGTTACTGTTCCGTACAAATGTTACTCCCCTGATGGTTACTGTTCCGTACAAATGTTAGTCCCCTGATGGTTACTGTTCCGTACAAATGTTAGTCCCGTGATGGTTACTGTTCCGTACAAATGTTAGTCCCCTGATGGTTACTGTTCCGTACAAATGTTAGTCCCCTGATGGTTACTGTTCCGTACAAATGTTAGTCCCCTGATGGTTTCTGTTCCGTACAAATGTTACTCCCCTGATGGTTTCTGTTCCGTACAAATGTTAGTCCCCTGATGGTTACTGTTCCGTACAAATGTTAGTCCCGTGATGGTTTCTGTTCCGTACAAATGTTACTCCCCTGATGGTTACTGTTCCGTACAAATGTTAGTCCCCTGATGGTTACTGTTCCGTACAAATGTTAGTCCCCTGATGGTTTCTGTTCCGTACAAATGTTAGTCCCCTGATGGTTACTGTTCCGTACAAATGTTAGTCCCCTGATGGTTACTGTTCCGTACAAATGTTAGTCCCCTGATGGTTACTGTTCCGTACAAATGTTAGTCCCCTGATGGTTACTGTTCCGTACAAATGTTAGTCCCCTGATGGTTACTGTTCCGTACAAATGTTAGTCCCGTGATGGTTACTGTTCCCTACAAATGTTAGTCCCGTGATGGTTACTGTTCCGTACAAATGTTACTCCCCTGATGGTAACTGTTCCGTACAAATGTTAGTCCCGTGATGGTTACTGTTCCCTACAAATGTTACTCCCTGATGGTTTCTGTTCCGTACAAATGTTACTCCCCTGATGGTTACTGTTCCCTACAAATGTTAGTCCCGTGATGGTTACTGTTCCGTACAAATGTTAGTCCCGTGATGGTTACTGTTCCGTACAAATGTTACTCCCGTGATGGTAACTGTTCCGTACAAATGTTAGTCCCCTGATGGTTACTGTTCCGTACAAATGTTAGTCCCCTGATGGTTTCTGTTCCGTACAAATGTTAGTCCCCTGATGGTTACTGTTCCGTACAAATGTTAGTCCCCTGATGGTTACTGTTCCCTACAAATGATAGTCCCCTGATGGTTTCTGTTCCGTAAAAATGTTACTCCCCTGATGGTTACTGTTCCGTACAAATGTTAGTCCCGTGATGGTTACTGTTCCCTACAAATGTTACTCCCGTGTTGGTAACTGTTCCGTAAAAATGTTACTCCCCTGATGGTTACTGTTCCGTACAAATGTTAGTCCCCTGATGGTTACTGTTCCGTACAAATGTCAGTCCCCTGATGGTTACTGTTCCGTACAAATGTACGATGGTTACAATACGCAATATCAACAAATCCAGCATGCAAAGATAACACAAAACCACCAACAAACATATGACAACAAAACGACTGTTGTGTTAAATATGTTTACAAGTAACATAACTACGAGTTAGTAACACAGTAACCTCATAGTAACCTCATAGTAAAATACAATTTTTCATACATTTGCATGTCACCAGGGTTGTGTTTTCTACCCGTGAATAAGTCAACATATAGTAATATAGTTACCTGATTAGTAACACAGTTACAAGGGCAGTGGGTTTGTACCGAGGAAGTAACACGAAGCGTTACCAGGGAAGCAACAAAAACCGTTACTAGGGAAGGAACACAATCCATAATTGTGAAAGGAACACAAACCATTATTGGGTAAGTATAAAAAAGTTACTACGAATGGAGCACAAACTGTTACCGGGGAAAGAATTCAAACTGTTGCTAGGAAAGTAAAATGAATAATTACCGAGAAAGTAAGTAACACATCAGTTACTAGGGTAGCAACAGTTATCAGAGAAGGAGCACAAACTATTACATGAAGGAACATGAATAATTAGTTTTTTGCTGGTTTATCGCCCCGCGGTCAGGTCTTTTGAAGTTCGGGGTAGCTGTTGGTTACCTCACCGATCAACATACGGGAGGTCATTCCCATTGCCAAAGGACACAACAACTATAGCAAAGACCTGTCCGTTTCTCAGCTTCCACCAAGGGTAGGGGACGTCGAACCACACACCGCAGATTTTCACCTGATATTTCGTTGTCCAGCTGTCTCCCGACTGAGTTATCGTGGCCAACATGGATAATACAGATGCCGGGGGAGAGGGGTTGGGGTAGGGGTGTGTGTAAGGAGGGGGGAGGGTGGGGGGTGGGTGAGTAACATAGCTACTACAAGGAAACAGTGACAGAGAAAGTAACTGCATGGGGTAGGAACACATTACCAAGATAATATAGATCCGTGCTGGTGTAGTAACACATATCTTTTGATAGTAATAGTTAATGAGATGGAAACAAAATCACTGGGGTAGTGATATTATTAGCATGAAATATTTACCTGTATAATGACACGATCTGCTACTGTTGGTATACATGGATATACAGCTAAATATAAACTACTATAATTACCTGATCCGTTTCTTCTCTTCCTCCTGCAGTTCCTTGGCCCGACCAATCACAGAACGGATTTGTTTGATTTCATCCTCGGACAGGTGCGCCAGATCTGGCTCAGGTGGGTCCGTAGGGGTGGGAAGGCGTGTGGACGACACAGATGAACGACGCTTTGATCCGAACGACTGTACAGACTGCCATTCGGAAGTAGGTGTAGTACATTCGGAGGGGATACTGCTCGACTCATTACCCATAGTATTACTTGCCGTCATGGATATGACATCGAGTAAAGTATTGAACGGACATGATATGAAACACAGCAAACCTAACAAAACTCTCCGGTAAGAAGTGACCAAGGAAAGATAACACAAACGTCGGTGCCATAACTCGAATCGTAGGTAGGGAACAACACTTCCAGTGACTGATTCAAGAGCGACACGCGGGAATCCAAGCATTGATTAACACTAGGGCTTATTTCGAAACGAAAGAAATACAACCAAATCCGAGAAAGACATCGTTTCTAGTCATTGTCTCCAAATCGTAGAACGTATATCAGACCAACACAAATTGAAACCATTAGATTGTATGCTTCAATAGAGAGCAGCCTCATCCAGTAGCGTATACACACACAAAACAATGAATTTTTACATCTTCATCCCACAACGCGTGTGAATGTCATATAAATATTTAATCCAGTGGAGTAAGATCGGGCTACAGACGACATTTGCCGGTTCTATGGTCTATCCTTCCCGCGCTCTGGCAATCTCTTGCTACACTACGTGGACACAGCTCCAACCGAGGAAACCCTGAGCGAAGCAGCATGTTGGTAACGCCAGCATCGGTCTAGAAGCACAGTGTGTATATATTGTCTTTCCAAGTCTGTGCTGCGGCTTGCAAAATATTCAATACATCAGTGGTCGTCAAACTCGTCCTGTATCGATTTGCTAACCCGTGTATTTCAAAGACCAACTTTCACGTAGATTTGCTGCCGCCGATGCTTCCTTCCTTCACGCATGCGTACATGAAATGTACATTATATGGTAATGCTATAAGATTTTAGTCAATAAAAGCGGAAAGCAGTAAACTACCACAAACGCGTTACAATAACGAGTCCAATGGGCAGGAACCTGTAAAGAAGTACCAGCGTTGTCTAAACACGTTGTTTTGTTCCTGTGAACACAGTATTGATGTCGTCGTGTTCGCGTGGACTAATATGAACTATGTTAATAAGGGTTACCTGTATTAGTATGACTACTGTATAAGTATGACGACTACCTGTATAAGTATGACTACCTGTACATAAGTATGACTACCTAGTATAAGTATGACTACTTAGTATGACTACCTGTATTGTATGACTACCTGTATAATATTACCTGTATGTATGACTACCTGTATAAGTAGTATGTATTAGTATGACTACCTGTATTAGTATGTACCAATGACTACCTGTATTAGTAAGACTACCTGTATTAGTAAGACTACCTGTATAAGTATGACTACCTGTATTCCCGTATGCATACGTATAAGTAGAATTACCTGTATTAGTATGACTAGTATGACTACCTGACTACCTGTATTAGTATGACTACCTGTATTAGTATAACTACCTGTATAAGTATGACTACCTGTATTAGTATGACTACCTGTATTAGTATCACTACCTGTATTAGTATGACTACCTGTATTAGTATGACTACCTGTATAAGTATGACTACCTGTATTAGTATGACTACCTGTATAAGTATAACTATCTGTATAAGTATGACTTCCTGTATAAGTATGACTACCTGTATAAGTATGACTACCTGTATAAGTATGACTACCTGTATTAGTATGACTACCTGTATTAGTATAACTACCTGTATAAGTATGACTACCTGTATTAGTATGACTACCTGTATTAGTATGACTACCTGTATTAGTATGACTACCTGTATAAGTATGACTACCTGTATAAGTATGACTACCTGTATTAGTATGACTACCTGTATTAGTATGACTACCTGTATAAGTATGACTACCTGTATTAGTATGACTACCTGTATTAGTATGACTACCTGTATTAGTATGTACCAATGACTACCTGTATTAGTATGACTACCTGTATAAGTATGACTACCTGTATAAGTATGACTACCTGTATTAGTATGACTACCTGTATAAGTATGACTACCTGTATAAGTATGACTACCTGTATTAGTATGTACGTATGACTACCTGTATGACTACCTGTATTAGTACTACCTGTATTAGTATGTACCTGACTATGTATTAGTATGACTACCTGTATAAGTATGACTACCTGTATTAGTATGACTACCTGTATAAGTATGACTACCTGTATTAGTATGACTACCTGTATAAGTATGACTACCTGTATAAGTATGACTACCTGTATAAGTATGACTACCTGTATTAGTATGACTACCTGTATTGGTATGACTACCTGTATACGTATGACTACCTGTATAAGTATGACTACCTGTATTAGTATGACTACCTGTATTAGTATGTACGTATGACTACCTGTATAAGTATGACTACCTGTATGACTACCTGTATAAGTATGACTACCTGTATTAGTATGACTACCTGTATTAGTATAACTACCTGTATAAGTATGACTACCTGTATTAGTATGACTACCTGTATTAGTATGACTACCTGTATTAGTATGACTACCTGTATTACTATGTACCAATGACTACCTGTATTAGTATAACTACCTGTATAAGTATGACTACCTGTATAAGTATGACTACCTGTATTAGTATGACTACCTGTATAAGTATGACTACCTGTATAAGTAAGACTACCTGTATTAGTATGTACGTATGACTACCTGTATAAGTATGACTACCTGTATTAGTATGACTACCTGTATTAGTATGACTACCTGTATTAGTATGACTACCTGTATTAGTATGACTACCTGTATAAGTATGACTACCTGTATTAGTATAACTACCTGTATTAGTATGACTACCTGTATAAGTATGACTACCTGTATTAGTATAACTACCTGTATAAGTATGACTACCTGTATTAGTATAACTACCTGTATAAGTATGACTACCTGTATAAGTATGACTACCTGTATTAGTATGACTACCTGTATAAGTATGACTACCTGTATAAGTATGACTACCTGTATTAGTATGACTACCTGTATTAGTATGTACCTATGACTACCTGTATAAGTATGACTACCTGTATAAGTATGACTACCTGTATTAGTATGACTACCTGTACCTGTATAAGTATGACTACCTGTATAAGTATGACTACCTGTATTAGAATGTACGAATGACTACCTGTATAAGTATGACTACCTGTATAAGTATGAATACCTGTATAAGTATGACTACCTGTATAAGTATGACTACCTGTATAAGTATGACTACCTGTATTAGTATGACTACCTGTATTACCTGTATTAGTACTACCTGTATTAGTACTACCTGTATTAGTATGTATGTATACTACCTGTATAAGTATGACTACCTGTATGACTACCTGTACCTGTATAAGTATGACTACCTGTATTAGTATGACTAAGTATGACTACCTGTATAAGTATGACTACCTGTAGTATGACTACCTGTATAGTACTACCTGTATAAGTATGACTACCTGTATTAGCACGACTACCTGTATTAGTATGACTACCTGTATAAGTATGACTACCTGTATAAGTATGACTACCTGTATAAGTATGACTACCTGTATAAGTATAACTACCTGTATTAGTATGACTACCTGTATTAGTATGACTACCTGTATAAGTATGACTACCTGTATAAGTATGACTACCTGTATTAGTATGACTACCTGTATAAGTATGACTACCTGTATAAGTATGACTACCTGTATAAGTATGACTACCTGTATTAGTATGACTACCTGTATAAGTATGACTACCTGTATAAGTATGACTACCTGTATAAGTATGACTACCTGTATTAGTATGACTACCTGTATTAGTATGACTACCTGTATTAGTATGACTACCTGTATAAGTATGACTACCTGTATTAGTATGTACGTATGACTACCTGTATGACTACCTGTATTAGTATGACTACCTGTATAAGTATGACTACCTGTATTGGTATGACTACCTGTATTAGTATGACTACCTGTATAAGTATGACTACCTGTATAAGTATGACTACCTGTATAAGTATGACTACCTGTATAAGTATGACTACCTGTATAAGTATGACTACCTGTATTAGTATGACTACCTGTATAAGTATGACTACCTGTATAAGTATGACTACCTGTATAAGTATGACTACCTGTATTAGTATAACTACCTGTATAAGTATGACTACCTGTATTAGTATGACTACCTGTATAAGTATGACTACCTGTATAAGTATGACTACCTGTATAAGTATGACTACCTGTATTAGTATGTACTACCTGTATAAGTGACTACCTGTATTAGTATGACTACCTGTATAATGTATGACTACCTGTATAAGTATGACTACCTGTATAAGACTACCTGTATTATGTACCTGTACGTATTAGTATGACTACCTGTATTAGTATGACTGTACCTGTATTAGTATGTACTACCTGTATAAGACTACCTGTATAAGTATGACTACCTGTATTAGTATGACTATCTGTATTAGTATGACTACCTGTATGACTACCTGTATAAGTATGACTACCTGTATTAGTATGACTACCTGTATAAGTATGACTACCTGTATAAGTATGACTACCTGTATAAGTATGACTACCTGTATTAGTATGTATACCTGTATGACTACCTGTATTTGTTTGTACTCTGTGTGACTACCGTCATTATGTAGGTATAACTTTTTGGATTAGTACTAGTACACCCCTGTATTCCTAACTATCTTAAAAGAAAGGAAACACTTTAGCAGTGACTAAGTATACAACCAAGTTCGTAACAATGGCTATCTACCAAATATATACCTTGCCAAGCTGAGCAATAATGACTGACTACCATAGTAAGCAATGGATCATTTCCTAACTACCAAACATAGCAACGAATCATTGATTAACTCCTAAACTAACCAATAAAGTATGACTATATACCTAACCACGTACCAGCAATACTGCATACGTAACCACGTACCAGCAATACTGCATACGTAACCACGTACCAGCAATACTGCATACGTAACCAAACTGTAACAAAACCAAAACAAAACTATAAAAATACTGACTAACTGCTGATAACTGTGAAACATTGACTTTAACACCAAGC